ATGTTACACTTTTTTTTTTTTTTTTTAAAAATAAACCATAACTCCAAATAAATAGTTTTTACTTGTCACGCATGAACAAACAATTTTGCGGGTTAAAGACGGAATCGTGGGAATTCGACATCAAAAATCAATGGAGGGTTGCCCTTCACTTTCAAACGTTAAGATAATCAAATACACGAGGCCCTGCGCTGCAAGCACTTGTATGTACATTTTAAACTCCACTTTCACCTTTCCATTCGAATATCAATCATTTTCCTTCCTTTCCATCATCTGCCATCGCTGCACTCTGCTCCTGGTTAGCGCCCCAAAAACAATGTACAGTAATCCCTCGCTATATCACGGTTCATGGTTTCACTTTTCCCAGATTTTTTTCGTTCCTTTTTTTTTTTTAAACAGTGCGATGTGTTCTGCTTCCTGATTGGCTCAGGGATTGTAGACGAATGTCAACAGTCTCCACGCCTCATTGCTGTAGAGCTTGACCACAAATTAAAGACAACAACTTCGCGGATTTCACTTATGACGGGGTTTTTTTTTTGCAACGCAACCCCGCAATAAACGAGGGATGACTGTATACCCAAGGCCAAACTTCAGTCTTTTCACTCTTTGTTCTACAGGTTTAACTTGGGCTTCCAAAAGCTGGGGCTGGCTCATTCATTGCTTCATCCACCCTTGCTTTTTCCCCCCTCTCCTTTCTGTGTCCAGATTATTGCACTGGTGTGCACCATTATCCTCTTGAAACAGATCAAGAAAGACTACACGGCCGCCTCCGCCCGCTACTGCGCTGCTTACTAGGTGGAGAGTTCCATTTCATTCCCAACCAGCATAAAACTGTAATGGCCATCTTGACAGATTCAGTCCTTTGATATGCAAGTGCTTGCTCGGAATCACCACTTATCATGTCAAAATGGGATTTACGGTTCAGATGACATGAGGAAAGCCACACGGGCAGTTGAAGCACTGAGCTGTTTTAACCAGTTAAATGCTGTTTTGGGGATGGGGGGGGGGGATCTGTGTCGTACCATATCAGACCCCTTTCACTGAAACAACTGATTTCTTAACACGTATGTCAGGTGAAAAACTAGCTAGTGTCACCATTTTTGACTAAAAATGACTCTCTCAAATGTGTCTAAAAGTATTCCATCTGCTTTGGTAGTAGTTAGACAACTTGTTTTCTTTTGTGTAACCGGGGATTTGTTGAAGTACAAAGTCTTGGATTTTTGTGAAGGTCAAATTTGACAAAGAACAACAAAACCTTACTAGCAGCATACCCGTTACGTTTTTTCTTCGTCTGGGGGCGCTCTTCCCGTTGAAGACTTGCTGCTGCCTTCCATGAATGTTCTTTTTGTCTTTGAAACTTTGCTTTGGACTATATTGTTATAAATAAACTGCTACTTCATATTAATGTCATGATTTTTGTGTCTTTAATTTAACAAGTGCTAATTCATGACAAAATCTGAACAGGAATCTGATTTTGCATCAATCAAATGGGCTTCCAGAAAATTACTTCACTGCTTGGGGGGAACATTTTATACACACACACACACACACATTTTGTAAGATCATATGGATGAACTATCCCTGCTATGTACACAAGGCTTGACAATTGCTACAATGTTAATGTCGAAAAGGACGGCGAATCTACACGAAACAGCAAATAAAATTGTCTTGAAAAGCAAAACCTGGACAAGAATATTTGTCATTACCCTTTGTCGATAAGCATGTAGTTGCTGTATGGAGCTGCATTCTCACTTCCAAATATACTCGTCTTCCTTGCATGAAGTCGAGAGGCAGGTGGGCCTTGGGATGGTAGCTGCTCAGGGATTTGTCTTAAGAGAAAGCAAGAGGAAATGTAACGTTTACATTTAGACGCGCGGGCAAAAGGCAACTAAGTCAGATAACAGCTGCGCTGAAATCAACAGGCATTATTTAAATATCTGAAAACTTTGGAGGGGAGGATAAAACA